TTTGCAAGAACACAACCCTACTGTGGAACTCCCGTGTTCTACAATTTGACAGTGAGACGTATGGGAATGATGTTCATTCGTTTCAACCTGAGCGGTGGCTTATGGCAGATACGCAACAGCGAAGCCGAATGGAGCAGGGATTGATCTCCTTCAACCGCTGCGTGCGCGACCATCCAGAAGCCCAGGTGGCCTGGCTGGAATTGAAGAAAGTTGTCGTATTGATTCTTATGAAATTTAATGTGGGTTTATCGAGAATGTATATTGCAGGCTGATCACTGACTGGTAATTGCGAACAGACACAGCTTCTTCATGCCGCAGAGCCTAGCATTGACACCGACGACAATTTTACTTCGCCGTCTCTTATGGTTGGCTTCACCCCAAGGGTTCCTGAATATTGAGGTACCAGCTTGGCAACGCATAATTCTTGCATATTTCTTTTTACTTTCCAGATCATTGGTGTCGTTTCGCCGTCTTTGGATTCCTACTTCTTTAGCTAAGATACCCAGATAAAGCAATTGCCATACAATCTTTACCTCCGTTCACAGCATTGCTACATATTCTAAGCGATCATCCATAAAGAATCACATAACAGAATACCACAAAGAGATACTCCATGCTAAGCTCTTATACGACGAGCACTCCCTACAAGCAATGCCAAGGCCCGGGACGGCGCGTACAATGGCGAAGCGCCCACTTACAGGACTCATCTACACATCCATTGGCATCCATCCAACTAACAAACCCAGCAAAACACCGAGGTGATACCAATAAAATCCATATTGTACTACTATACTACTGAGCATAAAATTATCTCGAAACCACAACCTCTCCTCAACACCACATCCCACCCACACCACCGCAGAATAGCTCCCCTACTCATTCTCATCGACCCCAATCTCCGTCGTCTTGAACTTCCTCGCCGATATCTTTCTCTTGAAGAGAATATCCGCCTCACGATACGACCGATGCTTCAACTCCGGCAATCCAAAGTACGCTCCAACCCACACCACCAGCGCCGTGCACCCCCAGACATACCCGCACTTGCCGGCCAAGTTCCATCCCGTGGTATTAAGCATCCGTGACGAGAGATAAATCATCGGGATTTCAGTGATGTAGTATGCGGACCGTCCGACAGCTGTACTTAGCGCGCGGAGCCGCACCGACGATGTCTCGGAGATGATGGTGTACGAGATAGGGCCTTGTGCGCCGGCGTAGACCACGGAGATGATCACGCCGAGACAGGCTTGCGCGTAGTTCGTCTTGTGGGTTTGTGGTACGGAGGCGATGATTCCGAGGATGAAGAGGAAGGTGATGTTCGTGGCGGTGCCGTAGAGGAAGACGGTGCGTCGGCGGAACCAGGAGGTCAGGACCCAGGAGACGGCGTTGGCGACGAATTGGAGACAGGTTGTGATGAGGTTCAGTTGGAAGGATTTGTCGGCGGAGATACCGGCCTCTTGATAACATATACAAGTCAGAGAGAGACGCGACTGGGGAAGTTAAGGACGAGGACGGGGAACTCACGCTCGAAGAAGTAAGTGGCCTGGTTCGCAATCAAATTACCCGCAAAGTTCTGCGACGCATAAATGAGACAGGTGATGATCGTTCGTCTGCGATCGGTACCCTTCCAGAGATCGAGAAGCGTGGGATTACCGCCTGTTTCCTCTTCGATCTTGACGGTACGCTCGATCATGGCCAGGGATTGGTGGGCTTGTTCTTCGGTTTTGGCACCGAGGCGTTTAATGGATTTCAGGGCCTCTTCTTTGCGGCCACGGCGGATGAGCCACCAGGGGGACTCGGGGGCGAAGAAGAGGAGGACCATGAGGGGGGTCTAGAGATAATTGATCGTTAGTGGTTGTTGATTTATGGCATTGGAGGAGAGGAACGTACCGGGAAGATCCATTGCAAGGCAAGTGGTGCGCGCCATTCCCACTCCGTAGTGAGAGAGTTGTAACCGTAGGTGGCGCCCGCGACGATGATGGAACCAATGGACCAACTCATTTGCAGGGTGGCCGTGACTGCAGCTCGGAGGGGGAGAGGGACGACTTCACTGGCGTAGGCCGGGGAGTTGGCGATGAAGAAACCCCATGGGACACCTTCTAGGGCTTGACCGACCACGAGGAGGGTGAGTGAGTTCGCCTATAGATGAAAATGTTAAATGAGGTGGAAATGACATTCATGTAAACAGGCTACTTACGAAGAACGAGATGAAAATCGTCGCATTCATGAGAACCAGACCCAGCATAGTCGTCCAGCGGTATCCGATCCTGTTCGTGATCGGTCCGGCCAGATACACACCGACGAAGGCACCGCATTGGCCAGATTGGAATAGAGCACTTTGCCATTTGGTCGGGATAGCCCAGACACCGGGTGAGGTTTCGACGCCGAAGACCTTGGAGAAGTGGTCGAGTGCGACGAAGTTGGTGTTGAGGAACATGTCGAAGGATTCCATGACCTGAGGGAATTAGTATGTCAGCACATGACAATTAATTTAGTGAATGAATGTAGATAGACTCACAATGGTGAAGCACATGAGGAAGGCCCAGAAACAAGCCCAGGGGTACTGCTTCGCAGCCTCCCAGACACCCATCTGATGCTCATAATTCTCACCATCGAAGGCTTCATGCATCAGATCGGGGTTATCCAAAACCTCAGACTGGTGGATGTCCACCTTCTCGGTCTGAGGCTTCTCATCCCGCTGCTCGGCGACGCTTTCAGCCGCCATCTTGTCGGATATCAGGGCTCAACCACCGAGTGACTTGGGGAAGAGCTACGAGAGGTGGGGTAAGAAAGTCTCAGAGAGGGGAAGGAAAGAAAAGCATCGGCCAAGAGGGCGGGATGAAGGTCTTAAATTGACCTGACTTGATTATTCTACCCCATGTAACTGTGTGACCTGGAAAGTGAGTGCCGCCCGGCGTTTTCCCCCTTTCCACCACAGCCCAGGAATAAGCAACCCAGCAAGGGCGCAAGTGAAAATGCAGGCCCTCGACCAAAAAAATACGAGCTAAATGAACTCAAAATGAGACAAGTCCAGGTCACTAACGTGGTTGAACATGTGGTTGCTTGTCTCCACAGAATTACCCCATTGGTCCGGGATAAGCAGGGCTAATGTAAGGACCACCAACATTACCCAGCGGTGACCAGCTTTGCGGGGGAAATGCCAATTGGAGATGCGGGGCCCCAGATGACTCCTGAGATTCCCGCATGGACCTCGATTCCTGTCATCCTCGGCTGGTGGTTGGCGGAATATCTCACGCCACAGCGCGTTGGGATTGGTTGTGAAGCCTTTAGCTAGGGGGCGGCCAGGTTACAAGCCCTTTTTGGTGTCACTGAAATCCTCACCATAGGAGGCCTTGCTTGATTTTTAGCTAGTTCCGGGCAAGATATTAACCACGCGACACGTGTGAAAGGATTGATTCAGTTCTTTGACGTTGGATAATGACATGGAGGGATTAAGACTTCGCGTTGGTCGAATGGTTATAATATTGAATGATCTGTAGGTAAAATGCAGCGATGCTAAGAATATACCAAGCCCTGCCAAGTACCCATTAAAGCCCCCCTGCCGTTTTCTAGGCTTTTCTGCCGAACCCTCGGCTACGTGCAGAGAAAAAAGCATTTTCAGTCCCAGTGATGATTTCACCTTCTGGGACTACTACCTAATCAATCCACTTGTGATACATTGACCAAGCTTTGATTTACGCGTGACTTGGTGGTTGCTACTAGCTACATTCAGATGGTCACGTTTATTGGTTGCAGTAGTAGCTGATTCCAAGTGGATAAGCAAGCCGCGGCTGGCTGGATTGGATACAACGCCACCATTGTTCCTGTAAATCCTGGGCTTCGTACAGATGGTATCCCTCTCCAGCAAGCCATTACCTCTGTATCATGAAATGTCGATAGTTGCAAAGTAAATATGGGTAATGTTCCATTGCTCCTTCCCTGACGTCTGCCTGAAAGCATAACTCAATCCGCGGTCCTCGATTAATCAACAATACTCAATGAACAGCAATATCTAACCGAGCACCATCCAGACCCGGCTAGGCGCGCCTCATTAGGCAAGGATGAAGCCTATCCGGCCTAGTAGGTGATATAGGATCCCGCCACCTGCGGACTAGCGCAAACGCAACACAGGCCTTAGAAGTCACCACCAACCATAAATTACTCCAGAGACACTGCATCGCGCACATGTGAATTTAACCGAAAGCCTTAACAGCCCGACGTTGGGGCCGCATCCTGACAGCTCAACGGTAGCTTACCCCAGCTCCACGTGCGTGGGCTTGCGGCTTTAGGAAGCTTTCCAAGCTACTGTACGTAGACCTTTTCCATTATTGCGCCACCGTGCTATGGACGTAAGGCGTTATTTTTGACTTCCGCATAGCGGAGGACAGAATCATGCGTCAGTGCCTTGGTATGAGCTGAGCTTCGTTGGGCTCAGTATTCCCTTGTCGCTTTTCGCACCCTACGAACAAGATTCATAGGATGAGTGCTCTAACCGAATGGTAGACTTATATCCTGCCCGTCGATGGATAGTGCGTCTCATTTAAGAAATTCCGCAGGATTTCTAATTTCCTTCGGCTAATATCTGCTGTAAACTAATCAAGGATACCACACGTTCTGGGTAATCAGAAGTCTGACCTCTCAATATGGTCTGATCTGACCGAAATAAACTTCCTCTACTTTTCACGAGCGTTAATAATAGGTTGCCTTGCTGATGCTCTGTTTTTGGTTCTATAGGGCTAGACTGGCTGGTGAGCTCACGTGGCTGTTATAGTTCAGCATAAGCCAGAATATGTAAAGCCCTACGAGGAAGCAGAGATTGAGTATGTCAGCTGACGGTAGAGCTTTCACTCTGACACTGCATGCGATCAGCTCATTGACGTCTGACCTGCTATTATGTCAAATAGTGATTAATATAGTACGTAGTCATTACCAGCGAAGTGACGTGTCTTTATAACGCACCCGGATAGGGCAGTCTTCAGTTGGCAGCTGGCATTCATGCCTCGGGCACTAAACATAGCATCGAACTTCCGCAAGGGATGAGTAGTCTTGCCCAACTACTTAAATAACCTAGCAGACATACACAACTTATAATCAACCCTCAACTTTCACTTACGAATTTCACATAGCTCCCATGTCCAAGGAGTTAGACGTTAACCCATCGGAGGTTGAATTCCTCGAAACGCTAAAGGAAAGCAAATACTCGGTAGTGTTCAAAGTGCGTTTCCGTGAAAAGCTATGCGTCTTGAAAGTGGTAAGCCAGCACCCCCATTTAATATACTGCCTTCTCACTTAATATCAAAGTATCACGATCGGGAGCCAAATGAACTTGACCCTCCCGACCGCATAGTCAACCTCTTCATCTCCGAATCCACCGCCTACCAACGACTAGAATCCAAAGGCCTATGCCAGAGGGGCGTTGTCTCAAACGTCTACGGGACAATCAGAAAGATCCAACCGGCTGATTGGCCAAATCTCCACATGTTCCTTAACGACAAATTACCACCCAATGCTGTCCTAATTGAGTATATTCCACACCTGCAGCAAATTGACCTATCCAACTACTCACCACAACGCCTGGCTACACTCCGTGAGATTCTCGACGATATTCACGCAGCGGGGGTTCTTCATGCTGATCCAAAGCCGCGTAATATGATGGTTTCCATAGTGGGAGAGGAGAGGGTACTCTGGATCGACTTTGACTCTGCACAGACGTTTTCAGAGTGCGGTGATCTCTCGCCAAGACAACGAAAATGGTTCGATGAGGAGAATGAGATGATGGATTATTTTGTTGATGCGTTGGTAAGGCTTCGTGTTCTGGTTGTTCACTCCTTTTGTTTGCTGACTGGGGAATAGGCGAAAGATTTTGAGGAAGGCAAGTTGGATCGCACGATGTCGTACTATTATGAATGGTACGTATAGGTAGAAAGCTTTTAACTTGGGTTACACTGGCAGTATGAGAATTTGTTGCTCTGGGTAGTATCTTGAACATATACATTAGGAGTGTCAACGTTGAATGGTTGGTCTTTAGTACTATGTCAGTATCATCTTCCCAGTGGAACACAAGCATCGGAAATTCTAAATATAATACTCCATGGCCTTGCGATATGCCTCTGCTCCTGCAGCACGCTTATTTCACGAAAATAACAAACAGGCGAAATGAGATATGCCGTTCGGAAAAATACGGAGTGAGTTTGTTATTAGTATCACGTGCAGCACAACTCGGGCTATACCGGAAGTAACAAAGCGCATCATACACTGAAACATGAAACTCTTGCAAGTAGTAATCGCGAAATAGTTACGGGTAGTTTCTTTGTCATTGATTCATTCATATCGTTCTCATTATATATGTCTTAGTAACTTCATCACATCTCAATGAAACTGTGCTGTGTCCAGTCTGGCCAACGCTATGGGTATCAACGGAAAGAGTGCTATTTTTAGTAGTCGTGTGGTGGCCATTTCTCATGCAGCCCAGGCATCCTTCAACACCTTCTGTCCCTGAGCCAGCGTCCTCGCGGGAGCCTCCCCCAGCCATTGTGGCTCGAGACGATCAAGGTTCGCCTCGATCTCCCAGGCGCGGCCACCCTCGACGTACATCGAGGTGCCGTTGAGTGAGTCGTCCACGAGCACGCCAGCAGCCACCTGGGCCACCTGGAGAGGAGAGCTGATGGGAGGCCCTCCTCCTCCCATCGGTCGCAGAGCTTCTTTGTTACAGCCGGGTGAGTTTGGGTCATCCAGGGGCAGATGGTGTTGATGCGGAGGTTGTGCTTGTAAGGGGAGATGAAGTAGGGGCGTAGGGAGCGCATTAGGCCTTGCACACCGTGCTTGGCTGCTTGGTAAACAGACACACCGGGGGTTTCCTTGAAACCTGCGGCGCAAGAGAATAATGTAATGGAGCGGTCTACTCCAGGGCCACGGTTATGGCGGAGGTAGGCACCAGCGAGACGAACGACGTAGAGGGTCCCAGTGAGGTTGACGTCAAGGTCTCTGGTGGATGGGGGCTTTTCATTGTTAGGAGAATCTCTCAGCAGGTAAGTGGTGAGATGGCTTACCTCGCGCACAGCCTGGAGGCTTAGGGCATGATCAAACCAGTTGTCCTTTGGTTCCATACTTCCAGCAGTAACAACGACATGGTTAATGCGCTTGTAGGTCTTGAATGTGAAGTCAAAGAGATCAAGCACCGATTGGTAGTCCGTGATATCAGTCTCTTGGAAAGAGGAGCGCGGAGGCTTCGGGGGGCCAGAAGGGTCCCAGTAGACAGGCTATTTATCACGGCACTTCTGGCTCAAGGGGGCACCGGCGGTAGAATCAATGTCGCCAATGATTACGTAGGCGTTGTTCTCACAGCAAAGCTCTACGAGACTGGCACCGATGCCATTGGCACCTCCTGTTTCAAGCATACGTTAGCATTGGCGATGTGAGAATCGCAAGAACTCGTTTCGAGAACCACGTACCCACAATGAGAACAACCTTTTCCTCCAAAGCTTCCCGGGTGATGTCAGGATGGAATTGGGTGATAGGGGTGGCCGAATTGGAGGATTGAACAGGCTCAGTGGCGATCATTGTGATAGGTTCGATAAGAAGAAGAGAAAACTTGATACGAATTAGATTGGAGATGGAAGGATAGAAGCATGAATCGATGCCAACAGCTGGGGTTCGAAGAGCCTTTTATGCGGCACGACGGACGGATTGTCTTTGGCATCTTTAGCACGCCTCTCCCAACCTTGTAGGGGACGAGAACATGTGGTCTCAAGCCAATGAAGATGCAGGAAGGAGAGCTGCTCGCATTTTGGGACTTCTGGACCTAGTGGGGACTGTATCGGGAAAGTGTAACTGTCGATGAGAGAGCGGGATGAGATAGGCGGCGCAGCTGCACCAGAATCGATTTCGTTGGACGATGCTGAGGTGAACTCCACCACAAGTGCTATTCTCCGCCTGCCAGACGTCTTATCCACAGTGGAACGACTGATCGGCGATTGCAGGGGGAGGACGAGGGAATCCGGGGACATCTGGAAAAGTGGGTTTGTTGCTCGAGATGGATGTATAACGAAGAGAAGAATGGCAGAAAGGATAGCAGTTGCGGATGGATAGGGAAAGTAAGGGGAAGAAGATGAACAAAAGAGAGAAGGTTAGACGATTCGGAGTGCCTAGCAGAAGTCCCACCTGCTCTCCGTGAATTTTGAGTTTCCCCTCTCGGATGACCCCATACCTATCCCCGTCTCCTCCCATTCATCCAAGCCATTCCGATGCTTGGTGCATGTACTCCTTACTATTTTCTAGTCACTACCGGGGTCACTGCCTGCGATGGGAATGAAAGATAACCACATACTGCAGTGTCTACGCCCCCTCCTCACCACGGAACACGAAAATTCAGTCACCCCCCTTTACCACAATGGAGGATTCATGGATCAATATCCCCTCCAGCTGCTCAGCCGTCGTTGGTTAGCCTTCTGCAATCGGTTGGCATCCCGTCAGCCACCCACTGCAAGCCCGGGCCAGTCAAGAACGATTCACAGTAGAGGTGGCTGAACTCCATGCCGAGCCGATAGAGAACAGCCAGCCACGGAGCGGCCAGTGCAACCTTGCACTGTAGCCTCGACAGTATTGGCGTCGGAGTAATGCAGGGGTGTACTGCTCGAATCAATTGATTAGATGATCCGTAACCCGTTACGCTTACCGAGACATTTGGAGGTCATTGAGGATAATATACATAATTGGCTGAGGGCGGATTTAGCACGATGCCGAGACATCATCCCAGCAACGGCTGGCTATGCGTTCCATCCGAGGCTGATAGGCGCAGTGAGGGCCTATCACAGTAATAGGCAGGTATTGCGCGACACCACTGCCAGTGCTGCCACTCGGAAATGGTCCTCATTTAGCCTTTCATGTCATGGCACATCCTGTCGTGGCCTGTGCGCAATTGAGTTCCTTCTCACTTTACCTTTTGAAAGGTGCAGCCCACTTTCTAGGAGCTTACCCTCGACCACTGTACCGCCGATGTCTGCGCAATTGGACGTATTGATGGACTTCAACTACATCAAAACATACATGTGAAGCTAAAAGGTGCGAATGGTGATGCAAGAGGCTTGCCGAAGCAACTGTGGTAAGGTCAATGGGGAGGACTCTAGCCCAGTACAGCGCTGGGACTGATCACGGAAAAGCACCATCCGGGACTTAGTCGGGGTCTGCTAAGATCTTCATTTCCAGCCAGCAGCAGCTAATCCCGGACGGTCATCCCGCCGGATGGACCTTGCCTATCTTGTTCCATCTTGCAGCATCTGCGGACTACCGTACTCCGTCGGGGATACCTACATGTTGCTCTACGTTCACTTGAGTGCAGGGGCCGTTAGAAGATGGCAGTGATCGGAGAGGAGAATGAGGAGATCGATAGGGAGGACGCAGTAGTGTGGGACTGGATCAGCCGAAGATTCCGATGGAATCGCATCGATACTTCGCCGCCTGTACTTTTTCTCGTGGTTCCCCACTGGCTCCACTAGGCAATTGCAAATACACAGCATGGGAAGCAGACAACAACATTGTGCTCAAACCCCTCGCCGACCTTCTTGATGAAGATCGATCGGCTTAAGCATTAAACATTTGCCACCCCCAGATCTGTTCAAGTTGATCCTTTTCATCGTCGGTTATGGTAGCCGAAAGTGGGTTACGAAGTAGACTGTTAGACAGTTGATAAAGGGGATCTAGAGGGATGATGCCTGTGGTTTGAATCTCCAGAGCAAACAAGTGACCAGTTTGGAACCGCCGGAATGGGCTATCGTCGGTGATTGATCGGCTAGCTATTGGGCTACGGAGCATAGCCCGACGGACACTAAATGACGAGCTGATCCCTATTCATTTAAAGCCTGATAATATCAACCTAAACCGCCGTGTGTCATATGGCCAGCCAGATGGATGTTGCGGATATATGTGCCCGGTCAGTAGCATCCCATGATATTATGGTGCTATGAGCTCTGTACCTAGAAGCTCTGGCAGTGTCGCACAATCTCGCGACCGGCAGATAGGCCATTTAGTTTAAGTATTCATTACTTAATGAACGATCGACCACAGTGACAATTTGAGTGGCTTGTCCTTGCATAATATTTAATGCCTCAGGCAACAAATATGGGTAATTAACATGGCCGTTCGCCGATCGGGCCATCGGCGATCCTTGAGTTACCGCCTTGGGTGTGTCCAGTAATTCTTCATAGAGCACATCCAACTTTCTAAGCATGAAGCCTGGACCCCGTTGCTTATGAAGATGTGACCCATGGTAGAGACCTGCCAGAAGCCGGCAGCCGATGGGGTTACATGATGGCATGGTCTACGTCACCACCCGAGCATCCAGGCCCTGCCGGTTTATAAATGGATTACCATGTACAACCCTGGATGACATATGCTGGATTTAATGGCAACTGCTGTTAAAATGAACGGCTTGTCAAGGTGCTTGGGAAGACAAATCACACAACACGCGAAAACCCCTTTCTTCAGGAAGTGCAATACGACCCCACTACGTCTTTCTGGCGTTCATCTCCGAAGATACTCAGACCAGAGCTCAAAATACAACGGCAACATGACTACTCAACCTCCCAAGAACGAAATGGTGTACATGCCAGGGGTGATGTCACCGAGCAGATCGTTTGGAGTATTCCGTAAGGTCCTTCATACTGGCCTGTACTCGCAATTTGTGGCGATGGAAGTCCCGGTCAACGGCGAAATTGGTGACGAGGTAAGCTATTCTTCCCACGAACGACTATTGTGATTTATGAAATATTAACCATGACTTCCAGATTCATACCGTCGATCAAGTGCTGATATTCACCCATGGCACTGGCAAGGCAATTGTTGCTGGGAAGGAACAAGAGGTCAAACAGAACGATGTCGTCATAGTCCCGGCTGGCACTCAACACCAGTTTTTGAATATCGGAAACACGCCACTCGAAGTAGTCACCATATACTCCCCGGCTGAACATGACCCGCGTACAGTACATCAAACTAAGGAAGAGGGCGATGCACAGGAAGAGGCTGGCGAGGATGAAGCACCCGAGTGGAGTCAACGGAGCAAGTCGGAGAACGAGAAGATTGGGCTGGTCAAGCCGCCATGAGCAGGGAATGGTATATATTCAGACGATCAGTCGGATGTAGCTACCCGGAGTCTATGTTAAGTTTTTTTGAACAATTGGCTGAGATGATTGTAAGACACGGTGCCACGTCGATATGAGTGTAGTCAGCCCGAGCCTAAACAGTTCTAATTGAAATCGAGCATACCCATACTCATGTGATCCAACTACCCCAGGTGCTGTGAGCCTGATATAGGGCCCGGGTTTGAAAGGTACCTGATCTAGAGTCGCGGAAAGTCCCGGTCGGCAATCATAGACGCAGACAATGCTGGTATCTATTAGTCAAAAGATTGGTACAAAGTCTATACTATGGCAGGGGCCGTTTGAGGTTTTACAGACATTGCAAGGATCTGCTCAAACCGGTACTGAGCAAGTTTAAGCTCCAAAAAAAAAGAAGAAGAGGATTGAATTGGTCGGATTCTGATTTCCATTGGCCTGCGAATCTGTCTACGATGATGAATCAAAGGTGAAGTTCTCACTTCTTTTGTGATTCCGTTGGCTTGGCTGACTTTGAGAACGCATTCAGGTTGAAAGAAGAAAGAAGATTGTATTTCCCCAAAGAAAGAAAAAAAAATAGATGAAAGGAGAAGAAAACAAAGACAAGTGGACGCCAGCGAGCTGGGACTCTGCAACCGATGACTCCAAAGAGATGTCACAAGTAACCCAAGGAACGGTATACAATTTCCCTTGCCAACGTGGCGTCCTATCATGATTCTGAAACTGTCTCGGAGGCCTAATCCTGGGTATCATCAATACGAGATTGTTCGCCGTCACTCTCTGAATGAAAGTTCTTTGGGCCTGACATCATGTACTACCTCGGGGTCTCTATCCCAATCAGGGCTCGTAGTCTTTGTTTGTATACCCAGCTCACCAAGATGTCGTGCTCTATATGGAGTGACATCCGGGCTACACAAATGTCACCATCATTTATCTCTCTTTTTTACCAAGGACTTCCCCTCATACGTCCTGGTCATCGTTCGGGACAACCCATTCCCCGGGTTTCTTTCTAGGAGCAGAATCAAAAGGCTCTTTAACTGCATTAGAAGCGCTTCCACAATCAAGCCTCCATAGCTGCCATCTCCAAGTTATCTAGTGTCGCCCCCCCTCCCCCCGGAACCTTCTCTCTCTCCCCCGAACGAAGGTAGCTTACAGCCAAAATCCTCGACCACGGTACTCAGTATAAACAGTCCAGAAGAGAACCACTGCGCAAAATGGATGAGGGCGAGCTTCGGTAAGGCTTTCCAAGAGTCCAACCTGTATATATAGGATCAGTTTATGTAGACTAAATGACATGAACAGGGCTACCAGAGACGATGTCAGGCGTTCGAGCGAAAGGGACAGGCAGAACGATGAAGAGATGAAGTAGGTGAAGATTGGAAAAGCACAATCAAAGAAGATATCAAGAGGCTGACTGAAATTGGTAGGCAGATGGGTGGAATGGGTAGCCAGATGGCTGAAATGAAGAGGCAGATGGATGAAATGAAAAAGCAGGTGGCTGAAATGGGTAGCCAGATGGCTGACAGGGATAGGCAGGTGGCTGACTTAAGTAGCCAGATGGCTGAGAGGGATAGGCAGGTGGCTGACAGGGATAGGCAGGTGGCTGACTTAAGTAGCCAGATGGCTGAGAGGGATAGGCAGAGAGAGGAAGAGAGCAAGTATGTGAATACCATCAACAGATAACCCGAACAGAGGCGATTGCGCGTCTAACAGCGGATCCAGAGCCAATCAGGCGACAATAAGACAGATGGAAAAAATGCGTCGGAAAACAACGTTTACAGAGTTGATTCGGGAATGCCACGAATTTCTGTCAAAGCCGATAAAAGTCGAGTCGCCTTCGGGGTGCACCAAGGGAACAATACCCCCACCCACAGGGAAGGTCTGCCCCGATCGGTTCG